CCCCCCCCCCCCCCCCCCCCCCTCCACCACCACCACCCCTACAGGGAATTTTTATTTTTAGGGGCTTGAAAATGCCATTTCCCACGTTTTCTAGGGAACAGTTTCAAAAAGTAAAACATAGAACTGAAACGTTGAGCATTCCACAACTTATGTTTATGTGTTAATCTTTAGGATAACTGATAGAGACTGTCAAACCAGCCCATTAAATTATTAAAGACGCTTTTCGCCAATAAATGCATGAAATAGCGTATTTGTTTTTCCGGATTTCCGGTGGTAGACACGTGCGCAAGCATGAACAAATAAGGTAAAATGCTCAAAAGACCAGTTCCTCTGTAAATAGGACGTGACCGATAAAAGCCAATGAATTGTCTGGAAAAGCCTACCCCTGATATTATTATTAGAGAAGCGCGCTTATCGGAATAGGTGCTTTATGTCACATAGAAACACTTTGCAGTGTTTTCTTTTGAGAGAACAAAGACTAGTTACCTTGAGTCTGTCTCTCGGCCACTGAAGAGTTCCTTGCTTAATAACATCTAAAACCACTCCGACCGAGAGAGTCTGGTCCGGGTGCTGCTCCAGACGAGCACTGAAAAATGCCAACACCTGAAATATGAACAGAATCAGCCCGTTTTGCTCTCACCATACTACCACAAGCAAACGACACGTGTTGAAGTCATAAAATAAGCCCAGCGTATTCCCTTTAACTTTTGCACACTCAGATCATTTATATCATTGACAAACAGCAGCGAAAGTCCCACGTTCATTTTCTCACCATGTCTTCAGGTTGTATTTACAGCGAGGTTGAACAACAAACTCCACATGGCGCCCAAACATCCACAGATATTTGTCCGCTGACGTTCTCTCTTCTAAGAACGAAACAGTTAGTGTCCAAAGACAAATATCTGAACATATTTTCTCGCCAAGAGGGGCTATTGCCTTTATCATCCTTCAAATAATTTTACATAAGGTCGCTCTTTTGCGAAGACCTCTTTTCTCAACAGTTTAAAGTCAAAATAATTCTGCAGGCGTTTAAAAATATCGCTAGCTTGGTAAAAATATTTAGCACTACGCAACTGAATAATTTAGTCAGAACTAAGACTTAACGCAAGACGAAAATTTCGAAAACTGGGGAATAACACACGGGGGAAAATTCATGATATACGATGGCTCCATCACGCCACGTGTTTAGACCATTTGCGCCCGAGAGGAAATAGTAGTTTGCAAAGTGGATGGACATTGAGATCGGGAGGTCTAAATGGTTACACAAACCAGTAGCTAGTCTACTACTGAAACAAAGAGCATTTATTCATGGTATTGTCAAGTACTTTCCCGTATGATCTACAAGAACAACAAGTCTGTGAAATGCCAAGCCGATACGCGCTCCGTGGGCCTTCTGTCGATCCATAAAAAACTTCAGCGGAGCCAATCAGTTTGCGGTTCTCTTAGTATATAGCCACCCACAAGCTTAGACTTATCTTTATTTGCTGTGTTGTAAATCCCGGCCCGCGCCAAGAATGAGTTAATACTGGGCGCAATGTTTTTACAGGGGCGGAGAAAGTTAGAGCCCAAACATTTCCCCCAAAAACGCAATTTCCGGACCTTAGAGTTAATTCTGTGAATTTTTTGTGGAAACACAGCCTCCTTTGTTAACTACGTCAGTTTTGCTGACAAACATGGATCGTCAGTACTTCAGGAGTGAACAATTGGAATTTTTTGTTACCTTTTTACACGAGGCGGGTCGTAGAAATCGGGTCAGTTCCAGTCCAGTGAGAGCATACCACGGGGAAGCTAGGAATATTTTCACTTACCCTGGAGGGGATGCTAGTCCATCAAAGGTTGCCTCAACGATTCGTCGGTACCCATTTGTACTCCAGGGCAGGGTTGTCCAAAGCCCGATTAAGCTAACCCAGGATTAGCGAGAATTTCAACTTTAGCTTTTTAACTCTTCGGTGAGGTTTTCTGTTTGTATTGTTTGTTCTTCAGTTTAGAGCTTGAGTTGTCTCAAAATACACAATTGAAAAACATTTTTATTCATGAAAAATTAATACTTTTAATCCTGGGTCAGAGTTTACCGGCTTTCGAACAACCCGGCACAGAGCGGAGAGGCACTGAGAGAGTAACATTCGTTCCGGAGTCCAGCACACTGACATTTAGTACGGGCAATGTAAAGCCGTAGTGGCAGCCACTCACCGTGTCTATATTTTGTATAATATCGTGAAAAAGTGGATGAGTCCTAAACTGAGCGAACAGCTCTCTCCTATGTAGTAAGGTGTAAACCAGGTTGGGATTATGATGAAGAGTGTTCGTTACACAGGAATTGATAATCTCCAACACCATTCGAATCACTTCTTCTAGAATCGCAAGATCGGACAGCTGAAAGAAAAACACCGAATCAAGTTTTTTAACAAGTAACTTGTCCATCATCTCTAGCATAAAAGCGATGAAAAAAACAACAACATTGTGCAAAACAAGATTAAGTTTATTCCCTACAGGGCACCTCCTATGAGTAAACATTTGGTCCCAGCCACGTACAAACCCCAAGTTTGTGTCCTTCCATAAGCGGACATCTCTCTTAAGTGGACCTGAATTTTTCTTCTGGCTCTAACCGGGGTGTCCAAGTCAGTTGCGGGAAGTTCCACTGTATACACTAGCATGAATACCCAATTCATTTTAAACAATTTAAAAGACAATCATTATTTCTCCGCTACAACCGAAATCTTAAAGAAGACTTAACACATTTAATCACGATAGAAATTAATCTTAATTGGCTTTTAAGAATGGGAGACAGGGCGTTAACACTTTTTCCGCCGACAGAATTCAGCGCCCGAATAGCTACACGTCTTAAATGCTGTTGGGCGAAAAAAAAAGTTTAAATCTCCTTACCAACTGACCTCCTACAGCGTTCTCATTACAAGAAAGAAGAAAAATCTGGAATGGATTTTTCCAGTTCCAGGTGCTACAACAACTATGGCATTTACATAAATGGGGATTCCAATTAACAAAACAGCAATTACAATTAAAAGAATATTTTTTCCCCGAGAATCTCGTTATTGGAGATTCAATGGGTCTGGTGTATCCGAATAAAGCAATAAGATCAACCCCTTAGATGAAAGGACGTCTGAAAATTTCTGGGCACACTTTGAAACTTAGTCAAAGGAGAATACTAACCCCAATGAGGGCTATTTGAAATAAGTTACTTTGAGTATGTGGATAAATATGTGGAATCCCAAAATATTTTAACAAGGATTTAAACTAATTCCAGCGTAGATAGCGAATGTTTTGTTGTCATTCACAACGCCCGCCTGGCCCCGTCCACACTACGCCGGATAAATTTCAAAACACAGCTTTATTTCTACGGTTAGGCCTACCGTCCACACTAATCCGTCACCAAAACGCAGCTTTATTTCTACG